TTTTTTCGGCTTAAAGCCTCCGATGCTCAAGTCAGTATGTGAAAGAGATGAAGAAGGCTGCTCTGAGGGAACAACAACAGCAGTAGAAGAGTGTATGGAATTAATGGAAGTTAGGGTTGAGGGTTACCTCACCTCCTTTATATAGAAGGAAATACTTACTTGGAGCACCCGAAATGCCCCAGTCGGTCTACCGGAAATGTTTAAATTACCCTGGTCGATTCGTCTCCCTATACTGCTGAGTCATCACAAGATTCCTTCCCATCCATTTAGAGAATAGGAGGCTTCAAGAGATATTATAAGCGTACTGAGTCGTCGGTACGTTTCGCGCCTCGAGGCACGAGGAGTTGACCTCGAGCACTGGGAAGTCGACTTGGGATCATATGAATATTCGGAGGCTACGCTTGTTCATCTTCTAGGTGGAAGTCGACTTTAGGGGTAGACTTATGAGAGTCGACTTTGGCGTTGTCGACTTTGGTCAAATCGGCTTTCGCCTTTAAACTCGCGCAGGACTGTAAGCTGTCTCAAAGTTGACTTGCGGGTGTCGACTTGGTGATATCGTTGTGGGGTCGGTTTGACAGGCCTTCCCGGTCGAGTAGTTAGCACTTGGGCCGGTATATCATAATATGGCTATATCAAAGATATTGAACTCGAAAATGGAAAAGTTGAATAAAGAGACTGATACATTAAAGTCCATACTCTTTCAACTTTTTTTTTTCCTCCTCATTTTTTTTTTTAGTTGTATTTCGTTTTATCCTAAACTATAATAGGCACAATCAAACTCGATAAGTACGCACAAATTATCTCCCAAAATTAGAAAATACCTATGGTTCCTAATCGCCAGATCAACCAAAAATTTCCGCTGGCACCACCTAAATCCTCGAGGAAGACGAAGTCGCCAGGTCACTCTTTCTCGCTGATCATAAAGTCCAGTCGATCAAAGAAGCCGTCGGTCCAAATTTCACCTTTTTCTCTGTAGAGCCCAGTCACTTATCTTTAGAAAAATGCTAGTTTTCAGAAATAGTTGGAATTTTTCAAATACTTTTAAACTTTGAAACTTGTTTCGGCACTACTAAAAACTCTTTCCTTTCAAAACTTTCTAAAATATTTTCTTTATTTTCTTTCTTTTCTTTAAAACTTAACCTAAGCCTCACCCTTAAGTTCTTAGGGAAATCACTTCTCATACATGTTACTTGCTTCCCAATAATCAAGACATAAATAAAACATTCTCAGCCTCAAAACATGAATTAGCTAAAACATGAAATGAGTTCAAAAATTGTCTGCAGAAGCATAAGGTAAATTACATTATTTAGACCACCCTCACGCCAACTCGTGTCTGCTGCCAGCTGCTCAACATAAAAATGATAATTGTGGGGGGGTGATAAAAACAACTAGCTCACTGATAAACTACACTATGTGGATATTCAAAACAATTAACAGATACCATGACAGTAGTCTGAAACATGAATAAATTGATCGTACTGCCCCTCACAAGCAAGGTTCCAAATAGCTTTAGCTCTCACAGATGCTACCCATCGCAGGCAGGGATTATAAAAGCTTTGCCTCTCACAGGCGCTGCCAATCACAGGCAAGGTATTACATACTTTTCCCCATTACAGGCAAGAATACTCATACAACATACAACAACCATAGTACCACAATACTTATTAAGAATAAGGCATAGCATAGAATTCCCCACCTTATGATGATAATGATGAATGAAATGCTAATGAACTTCGTGAAGGCTAGACTCCTCTTAATCTACAAATTAAGAATTTATTTATCATTAAGCATTTACTTAGAAGATTTTTGGAGATAAATTTTGATTAACTTGTTAACTAAACCACACAATTAAGAAAAATTAAAAAACTCTATTACTAACTCTTCTCGACTTTTCTAGGCTCGTCTAGAGTTCTCAGATATTCTAATGTAAGCCCGAAAAACTAATTTTTCTAAACTGGACTGAACCGCTCGGTCATACCTGGTTCGGCTTGTTGGACCGCTCGGGTCGACCTGGTGTTGCGGCTGCCCAACTGGTCAGATCTGTTGGCTTGGGCGCGCCCGCTGGCTGCACAATCTACTGGGCACTGGCGCCATGGCGCGCACTGGCTCAGCGAGGCTTGTTGAGACCAAGGTCTAGCCAGCTGGGCTCGCTGCTTGTCTGGCTGAGGCTGCTGCAGAGTGGCAAGCCACGCTACTAGTCATTAGCCCACGAGCGCGCATGGACCAAGGACCTGTTGGGACGCACGGGCGCTGCAGGGATAACGCGCAGGCGCTAGACACAGGACGCACGGGCTTGCACGGGAGCGCTAGACGCTGCATGGACGGTGCACGGGCGCAGGGCATGCTGCAATGTCTGCGGGCGCAGGGGCGCGAGCACGCGGGTCTCTAGCGGAATATTGAGCACGGCACGGCCGAGGAACAAAGACATTGGGTCGCTGCGGTACACTGGGTGTGAAGAGTTACTAGGTCACGGCTAGCCTGCCACCCGACTGAGCCCGACCATACTTGTCTTCGGCGACTTTCACCGGCCAAACCCAACATTTTTTCGCCAACTTCAAGGCTATTTAAAACTTGTAATTTAGAAGTTCGAACCAAGGCTTAAGGGAACAAAAAAGGACTACCTAAACCAAGTCTAAGGTCCTCTCTTTTAAACCATTTTTTCTTAATCTCTCTTAAAAATACTAAGGGCATGCTTGTTTATAAAATATTTTGCTCACAAAATATTTCTATTAAAAAATTTAATTCAACTTTAACTCAACTCCACTATCTTTAATATTATTTATATACTTAAATAATATAAACCAATCATTTTTACATATCACATCAACTTTAATTCACTATTCATCCACTCACATAATTTTAACTACCAATCATTTATCTCTTACTTTTACATCAAATCAATAATAATCATTTTATTTTAAATATTATTTTAATACATTATTAAAATTCCACTAAGAACTAACATACCTTTTTTTTTTAAATTTAACTCTAGTTAATCAAAATATTTCATAAACAAGCATGCCCTAAGGTGAATAAAAAATTATAATTTATCCCTCTGAAAATTAAGCACAAAGGCAGCCCAAAATAACATCACGGAAACATGCACAACACAACATAAAAGAACAAGGCCAAACATGCTTCATCATAGCTTCTTTTTCTTGTTAACTTTTTATTAACTTTTAGCATGCATTACAAAATCAACTTGCAAGGGCAACGTTCGGTTGATAATTATACGGAGGACTTTTATCGCCTCTTTTCGCGTGTGGACATCCGTGAGACGACGGACCAAATTGTTTTTCAGTATGTTGGTGGTTTGCGTGCACCTATCCAGGACATACTCAAGTTATTTATGTCGGATTCGATTTTGGATACACATCAACGGGCTATTCTTGTCGAGCAGTAGTTGGCTCGTCGGATGCATATCGCGGGATTTTTGTGTTTATTGGACTTGTTGGTTAAACAAAGTTACTATTTTTAAAAAAAAAAATGTGAAATTAGGTTTGAGTGAGATTTTAAGTTAGCATTAAAACAGTATTTAAAATAAAATAATTGAATTGATTTGGTGTAAAAAAATGAAGTTATTGAAATATATTGATAGTTAAAATTATGTGTGTGAATGAATAGTGAACTAAAATTGATGTAATGAATGGAGATGATTGATTGATATTATTTAATTATATTGATAATATTAAAGAGAGTTAGATTTGAATTAAATTTAAGTTAGATTTTAAGTTAAAAAAAACTAATCGGTATAAAATAAGGGTAGATTTGGTGAAATTAGATGATAGCTGATAAGCTAGCTTATGTAATTTTTGAGCTTATAACTTATAGCTTTGACTTATAGCAGAAAAGCTAGCTTATATGATAAAATTTTTGGTAAAGTTAGCTGATAAGCTAGCTGAAATAAAAAATTCAACTAGTTTATTTGAAAAGCTACCTAAAGAAGCTTATAAGATAAGCTCGAACTTTTCAAAAAAACTCGTTCTACCATACGAGACTTATTTGAATACAAGAACCATATAAACTAACTAAATAAGCTATAACCTAATGTTATGTTTGGTAAAGCTAGCTGATGAGCTAGCTTATAGCTTATTTGTAATTTTTGAGCTTATAGCTTATAGCATATGACTTATAGCTGAAAACATAACTTATATGATAAAAGTGTTTGGTAAAATTAGCTGATAAGCTAGCTGAAATAAAAAATTCAACTAGCTTATTTGAAAAGCTACCTAAAGTAGCTTATGAGATAAGCTCGAACTTTTTGAAAAAGTTCATCTTACCAAACGAGTCTTATTTAAATACAGATAGTTTATAAGCTAATCAAATAAGTTATAAGCTTAGTTTATTTGGATTACCAAACATTAGCTTTTAACTTGTATGGAAGTACCCTAGTAAGAATCTACTATTGCACTCCTTTATCCGGAAAGAGAATTTTTACAACAAAGATAGGGTGTCTGAAATTCCTTTTTGGCAAGAAAACGAAATTGGCTTTATTCGTTTTTGCAGATTCCCCTTCAAAGGGCGCTTTTACTTCAACCTTTAATTCGGGCCGAAGGAATGTTCAAGGCATGCATGAACTCTTTCAAAATTAACCCCAAAATTGTCACCAGTAAACCCACGAAGCATTAATAATGAAATAAATAAACCTTGCCTTTAATAATAAATTGTTACTTTCAAGAAAAAGGCTGTAAAATTATTGC